TATATAAGGGAATACCATACAGCAAATTCAGAGAAATGAACTCTCAAGCTATAAGAAATATTTATCTAAAGTACCTCCACATATTTCTAAGTGAAAGAATCAGTCCAAAGTTTACACAATGGTTCATTTCAATGTATTAGTTTCTGAGAGCTGCCTTAACAAATAACCACAAATATGGTGGGTGAAAAGAACAGAAATTTATTCTCTCACAGCTCTGGAGACTGGAAGTCCAAAATCAAGATGTTGGTACAGCCTTATTCTCCTAAAAGCTCCAGCAAAGAATCTGTTCCATGCCTTTCTCTTAGCATCTGGGGTCTCCAGCAATCCCTAGCACTCTTAGCTTGAAGCTGCAAACTCCCACCTCTACCTTCATTATTGTATGATGTCCTTTTTGTATCTGTGTCAAATTTCTCTCTTCTTTTAAAGAAACCACCCATATTGGATTAAGGGCCCACTCGATTCCAGTAAAACTTCAGCTTAACTAAATACCTTTGTAATTTCCAAATAATGTCTCATGTAGTGGTACTAGAGGTTAAAAGGGCAATAAAGCTTGGGGTGTGGGGGGATACAACTCAACCGCCAACATTCAACTACATGTTATTTTGGAAAAGACAGTAATCGATCACTGGAGCTACAGGTCAGAGGATGGGGAAGGAAGGAGACATAGCAGATATGATTCTGCAGTTTGTCAGAACCCTGGAACTGTAGGACTCAACCCAAAGGTAAACCATAGGCTTTAGTTAATAATAATGAATCAGTATTGGTTTATCAAACCAAATATACCACAACCATGCAAGATGTTAATAAGAAGGTGGGTTCGATTCTCAGCACCACATATAAATAAATAAATATCCATTGACAACTAAAAAATATGAAAGGAAGGAAGGAAGAAAAGGAAGGAAGGAAGGAAGGAAGGAAGGAAGGAAGGGGAGGGAGGGAGGGAGGGAGGGAGGGAGGGGGGAGGGAGATGTGGTATGGGTATGTGAAAACTCTTTGTATTTCTGTTGGGCATTTCTGTGAATGTAAACGTGCCCTAAAACTGAAGTCTATTAATGAAAAAGAAAATACACTGGGCCACAATCAGATTTGATTTCTTTAAAAGGCGGATGGTATATGTTTCTTGCTTTCTGCATTTCAATGGAAGTTTCTAAAAGTCTCCAGCCCCAAACAAACTGGATGCAGACATTGGCAGTTTGAAGAAAGCCATTTATCCATAAAGTATTCTTTACTCCTTTGATGTACTTTTCTTCTTTTCACTTGCCAATTATCATGACTGAAAAACTCAGCATTCCAATTACTCAGTGAAAAAAAAAAAAAAAAAAAACTGGAGAAATCAAGCAAACTCTGCACCAGAAATCAATCTTGCATTTTAATACTCTTTAGCCAAAGACTAGCATTTGAAATCACTGATTCTCTCTGGTCTTGGAGAGTTGGATGTCTTGGTAGAAAATACCAGACAGTCAGGAATGCAAAAAAAAGACAGTTTCCCTTTGTCTATACTCTCACTTTTCTCCATTTCAACAGCCCATAGTCAGTGGAAGATGATCCAGAATCCCCTGAAGCAGATGATCTTCCTTCAGATATATCCTGGGATGGTCAATAGTAGCCTAACACTGTGTCCCTCGCTTCATGTCACCATGTAGGCTCTGCATCACCTCACAATCGCACAAGAATAAGGGTGAGGACAGCACAAGAGGATACTGTGTTGGCAAGCTTTCTGCCACTCTAACAAATACCTGAGGTGATCCACTTAAATAAAGAAAAAGTTTATTCTGGCTCATGGTTTCAGAGGTTCCAGCCCATGATCACTTGGCCCCATTGATCTTGGACTTTTAGCAAGGGAGCACATCATGGTGAGGAGCTCACATGAAGCAAACCTCCTCACCTTGTGACTGGGAAGTGAGAAAGAGTAACAGGGAGGACTGGGTCCCACCATCTCCTGCAAGGACACACATCCAGTGACCTAAAGATCCCCCACTCTGCCCCATGTCTTCCAGGTTCCACCAACTCCCAAAGCACCAGGCTGAGGACCAAGTCTTCAAAGCATGGACATCTGGGAAACATTTAAGAACCAAACTATACCAGAAGCTATACTTACAGAGAGAGAGAGAAAGGCCACATTCACATAACTTTTACTATATTATACTGTTATATAATTGGTTGCTGTCACTCTCTTACTGTGCCTAATTTATAGTTGAGCAACAGGTATACCTATATGGTATACGTATATACCATATAGGTATATATGTAAAGGAAAAATCATGGTATATAAAGGGTTTAGTCCTATCTATCTGCAGTTTCATGCATCCATGGAGGGGGCACATTCCATAGAAAAGGGAGGATTAGGGTAGCATGGATATATAATCTATCATACATAATAGAAAAGTTTGGAAAATGAAGGGGGAGCTATAGTAACTATGACAGCATAGCTGGCTTAAACTGTGCCAGACAGACAGGGACGTAAAATCACTTTAATCAGAAGATCCATGGTGGAGCCCCATCCCTGCCACGTATTCACCTAGGCCATGTTGTTTATCCAAGTCCCACTTGGACAATGGAAGCCTAGAGTCAAAAATATTATTCAGAGACACCAGGCATTGATTTCTTTTCCCTCCCCTTCCCCATTGGAAATAAAGGTGGGCTTGTTAGAGTCAAGGACTAGGAGATCCAGATGTTTGTAACAACATTCTCATGTGAAATGACATACAATCTAGTTCTTCCAGAAGTGGTACACAAGCCATAAGTCTAAGAAAACATTATCAACCAAGTTTTCCAGCACTGGCAAGACCACTCCTGGCATGGTCAAGGAGGTGTTAGGGATGAGGGAAGGAAGACAACAGACGCAACGCAGAGATGTGAGTGCGCGTTCTGGCGTATGGGATCAAATTGTGTCCCTCCAGAATCCATATCCACCCAGAACCTGACCAGAATGTGACCTTATTTAGAAAGAGGGTCTCTGCTGCTGTAACAAAATTAAGATGAGGTCATACTAGAGAGGGACAGGCGCTCAGTTCAATATCAGCGGAGTCCTTTTAAGAAGAGAACAACAGACACAGGGAGAAGGCTACGTAAGGACGGAGGCAGCGATTGGGGTGATGCACCTACAAGCCAAGAAATGGCCAGGATTGCCAGCAGCCCCCAGGAGCTGGGAGAGTTCTCAGCACGGAATGGACTCACCTCAGAATCTGAAACCAACACTGCCAACACCTAAATTTTGGACACCAAGCCCCTGGAATTGGGAAAGCACAAATTTCTGTTGTTTTGAGCCACCCGGTTTGTGATAATTTGTTATGTATTCCTAAGAAACTAAAATATCCAGCTAAATAATTACAGAATTCATCAAATGTTAGGGTGGGTTTTCACATTTCTTCATATTCTATTATCTTCTACCTATAATTCCTCACCCCTCAACCATATCCCCCAAGTCTAGTGGAAACCAAGTGCCCCCTCTTTTCTCATCTTTTCTGTTGTAGCTCAGATACTCTTCACATCTGCCTTTGACTATGGTCTTGATATACCTCTTCTCTCTACTTTCTGTCTTAACCCACACTTAGCCCTCCTCCAGCAAAGCAGTCTTTCTAACAAGCAAATTTAATCAAATCTCTTTCTCAATAAACTTTGTCAGAGCCTACAGGAAAAAAAAACTCAAAATTATTTTGCTTGATATACTAGTCAGCTCTGGCTACTGTAACAAAACACCACAGGCTGGGTGACTTAAACAACAAACATGTATTTATCCCAGTTCTAGAAGCTGGGAAGTTCAAGTTCAAAGTGCTGGCAGATCTGCTGTCTGTGAGGGCTGCTTCCTAGTTGCAGATGGCTGCCTCTTCCATGTGTCCTCACAGGGCAGACAGTAGAGAAGCAGCTAGCTCTCTTGTTTCCTCTTACAACAGCATTAATCCTATTCAAGATGACCCAGCTGTCTCCCAAAAGCCCAATTTCCTGATCACAATGCCTTGCTGGCTAGAATTTCAACTTATGAATCTGGAGAAGCATAAACATTCAGTCCACAGAAAATGGCAGACAAGACTTTTTATAATATGCCCCCAAGTTACCTTTCAAATCTTACTGCTTAACTATTCTTTTACAATTCTGTCAGCTTTTAGGGGAAAAAATTAGTAATAGTGACCTAGAAAATTAAGTGAGCAAACAATAACAATAAACAAATAGAAGCAATTATTGACTAGGAGAAAACAAAAAAATTGCACAAGAAAGGAGATATAATCATATTTGTTGGATGTAATCATAAGCATACTACTTGACTCTAGTGAAAAATCTTTACAAAAACCATTGTGCAAAAGTAACAACAAAAAAGTATAATAGATATGACTGCTGTGCTTTAGATATCTTGTTCTCAAGCTTGGCCTTTTGGCCCTTGGCTAGCATCTTGGATTTCAGGATAAGTGATGAGAGATTTACTGTATCTAAATCGTTTGTGCAAACAATATGGTTTGTTCTGAACATCTGCTTTTTTTTCCCCACAAGCCTAGAATTTTCCTCATGTTAATCAAAGGATGCCAAGGTGACAAGCCCCCAATAAATAATAAAAACTCTGGGCACTTGGTCTCCAAGGAGTTTCCTGGTTGACAACATATTGCAGTTGTCAATACCAGATAAAAGAATTGAGTGCATCCTATGTGACTTTTTTCTGGAGAGGACAGGACTCAGCTAGCGCATACCTGGTCTCCTCTGGACTTCACCCCATGTGCCCTTTACTGTTACTTATTTTGTTCTGTTTAAGGAAGGAAGGAAGGAAGGAAGGAAGGGAGGGAGGGAGGGAGGGAGGGAGGGAGGACATAAATATCTCAGCCATGGTGCTATGGTTTGAATGTACCCCTCCCCCAAGTTTAGGTTTTGGTAACTTAACCCCCATGCAACAGTATTGAGAATTGGAATCTTTAAGGGCTTATTAGAGTTCTTCCCTCATGAATGAGTTAACACTATTATCATGGGAGTGGATTTTTTTTACTTTTATTTTTTATTTTTTCATCATCAACAACTGCCATCAGAACTCTAACTGCTGTTAACTTCTGTACCTCACAAAGCATCAGCTTATTCATCCCAATCAGCTGAACAGAGTGGGTTTCTTTTAAAAAAAATAAAAGTTCAGCCTATGCTCCCACTTGCTCATGGTTCAGGCCCTCCTTCTTCCTTATGCCATGGAATGACACAGCACAAAGGCCCTCACCAGATGCTGGCCACTCCATCGGACTTCCCAGACTCCAGAGCTGTAAACCAATAGATTTCTATTCATATAAACTACCCAGTCTGTAGTATTTTGTTATAGCAGCATAAAACAGACTAATACACATGAATACAACTATTCTGCCAAGTCTTGCGAAATCTCCAAGTGAATCATCCAGCTCAAAAGTAATGTTGAGGTGAGACTGATTTAACAAAGTGTTGCCAATATCTAAATTAATAAATTAAAAAATATAAGAATATTATCCAGGAATTAAAAGCAAGTACCAGAAAAAATTGCTAGAAATAGAGTTTTTCTCTGAATGACGGATGTGAGACAAAAAAGGATAGAGCTAGGAATGGTTGTCTCTCCATAGAAGCTTTGAAATTATTTAAAAACTGTATATGTATATTACTTTAATAAAAGTCAAAATTAAAATGAGAATAGAAATTGTTTTTAGGAAAATCTCATTAAATTTCTATTATTATTAACTACATGCCAGGTACTATGCTTTTGATATTATATAATTAATCTTACTTAATCCTCCCCCCCCCCTCTCAATCACACCCACACTCACACACCCACACACACACACACAAAACTTAATCCTCTGTAAAGGTTATGTCATTTACTTATAACAGAATAAAAATTCTTATTTGGATGAATTTCCAGAAAGCTGAAGATACAGTTAGCTCCTAAATCCAAATCTTCCTACATTTCCTCATACAACAATAAGGAATAACAAAAACCATTAGAAACTCACAGCTTCAGCAGAAATAGAAAACAGAAAATGCCCAAACCTCAATTTACCTACAAGTACAAAAAGAAACATCAAATAGCAGGGATTTATCTTGCCAACTCCCACAGCAAGCCTTAGTAGAGCGCAAGAGCTCTCTATTAGAAAGACGGTGGAGGAGAGAAAAGAGGTCCTAGGAGAGCCTCAGGTTAATCCAAATCCACCTCCAGAAAGAGGAAGACTACCCTAAGGGCATAAATTCTGAAAGACATCTGGAAGACCAGAGCAGTGACCACCAAGGGGAAATAAGAGGACGTGTGATCCAGTTCTTAGAGGGAATGTTTTCAATTTTTCTCCATTTAGAATGATGTTGGCTTGGGTTTAGTGTAAATGTAGCTTTTACAATATTGAGATATGTTCCTACTATCCATAATTTTTCTAGTGTTTTGAGCATGAATGAATGCTGAATATGTTCAAATGCTTTTTATGCATCTATTAAGATAATCATGTGATTCTCATCTTTAAGTCTATTGATGTGATGAATTACATTTATTGATTTTCATATATTGAACCATCCTTGCATTCTGGGATGAACCCCACTTGATTGTGGTGTGCTATCATTCTAATATGTTTTTGTATGCAATTTGCTAGTATTTTATTAAGAATTTTTGCATATATGTTCATCAGGAATATTTGTCTGAAGTTTTCTTTCCTTGAAGCATCTTTGTCTGGTTTTGGTATCAGGATGATGCCATCCTCATAGAATGAATTTGGAAGGGTTCCCTCCCTTACTATTTCATGGAATAATTTGAGGAGGATTGATGTTAGTTATCCTTTAAAGGTCTGGTAGAATCAGCTGAGAATTCATCTGCTTCTGGGTTTTTTTGTTGTTGGTTGGTAGTCTTTTGCTGACATCTTCAATTTCATTGCTTGACATTGATCTGTTTAAATTTTCTATGTGCTCCTGATTCAATTTGGGTAAGTCATATGTCTCTAGAAACTTGTTGACAGCTTCATGATTTTCTATTTTATTGGAGCATAGATTTTCAAAATCATTTCTGGTCATCATCTGTATTTCACTAGTGTCTGTGGTGATATTTCTGTTTTTATCACTAAATTTAGTAATCTTTTTTATTTGTTAGCTTGGCTAAGGTTTTATTAATTTCATATTTTCAAAGAAACAACTTTTTGTTTCATTGATTTTTTTGAATTTTTGCTTGTTTCAATTCCAATTTCATTGATTTCAGCTCTGATTTTAATTATTTCCTTCTTCTACTTCTTTGGGTGTTGATTTGTTCTTTTTCTAGGGCTTTGACCTGTAAATTTAGTTTATTTATTTGTTGACTTTCTATTCTTTTAATGAATGAGCTCAATGCAGTGAACTTTCCTCTTAGAACCATCTTCATAGTTTCCTAGAGATTTTGATAAATTGTGTCGCTATTCACATTACCTCTAAGTATTTTTTTATTTCATCACTGAATTCTTTAGCTATCCATTGGTCATTCAATAGTGTATTATTTAGTCTCCAGGTGTTAGAGTAGCTTCTATTTTCTATTTTATTGTTGATCTAATTTCATTCCATTATGATCTGACAGAATGTAAGATATCATCTCTACTTTTTTGCATTTGCTAAGAGTTGCTGTGCAGCCTAAGATATGGTTCATTTTAGAGAAGGATTCATGTGGTGCCAAGAAAAAAGCATATTCAGTCTTATTCAGAAAAAAGCATATTCAGCTATGGATAAAATGTTTGTTTTTATGTCTGTTAAGTGTGAATTATTAATTGTATTTTTTAGTCTCATAGCTTCTTTAGTTTTTGTTTGGAGGACAAGTGATTTTAGGTAGCAGTCCTCAAAAAACTATCACTTATGGAAAAGAATAAAGAAAACTTCAGAAAATATGTAAATATGCAAATAATGAATCAGGTTTCTCACTGTCCATGAATGGAGGCATAACATGGAAAGGGAGAAGGTTTGAATGAACCTGTGGCATTGGATTGCAACTGGAAGTATTATTTTCTCATATATAGAGATATAAAATATAGAAAATGATACAGAGTCCTACATGTGGTTATAGTTTGGAAGTGAGGTATGCCCCCAAAGCTCACATGTGAGACAATGCAAGAAGGTGTAGAGAAGAAATAATTGAATTATGAGCCTTAACCCAATCAGTGAATTAATCACCTGATGGGATTAATTGAGTGGTAACTAAAGCCAGGTGGGGTGTGGCTGCAGGAAGTGGGGCATTGGAGGCATGGCTTTGGGGTATATATTTCTATTTGGTGAGTGGATTCTTTCTCTACTTTCTGATCAACATGTGAGCTGCTTCCTTCTGTCACACTCTTCTGCCATGATGTTCTGCCTCACCTTAAGCCCGGAGGAATGGAGCCAGCCTTCTTGGACTAGGACCTTTGAAACCATGAGCCCCCAGAATTGTTCTGATCGGGTCCTTTAGTCAGAGCAGTGAAAATAGATGACTAAAACCCATGTGTATACACACATGTATTACCCAGCTCCATGCACTAAGAGGACCTAGAAGTAATGGCATCTCAGGAAAATGAACATCCCTGGTGCTCACATATTGGTATCTAAACTCTTTCTCATCTAGAAGGAATCAGAGCTTTTGGAGAAATGGCTGACTTCAGAGTTGAAGAGGTACACATACAAAATGGGGCTAAACATACTTTTGTAGTAGAAAGTACAAAAATGCTTAAGAATGGCAAGAGCTTGTCAAAAGGACACAGGAGCCAGATTGAAAAAGACCCCATTGGCCAAGTCTACAACAATCAAAGCAAAAATTAAAAATGATACGATAATGATTATAATGGAAAAGCTCTGTCTTATACTAGGAAGCAAATAATCATCCTGGAAGGAGCAATAGAAATTAGAAAATCATCATGTGTCAATCATCATAGTAATAATTGTCACAAATAGTCAATGGATGCTAAAACTAGCAGGCTAAAGCTTGATGAGAAATAGGGTATTTATGTAAGAGTTCTGAAAGTATCCTCTTAAAAGACTTAGTTTGGGGGGGTAGTTTGGGGTTTTTTTGTTGTTGTTGTTGTTTGGTATCCTCTTAAAAGACACTTATTTTTTTTTTTTTTTGTACTGAAGACTGAACTCAGGGGGCACTTAACCACTGAGTCACATCCCCAAACCGTTTTTAATTGCTTTTTTTTTTTTTTTTTTTTTTTTGAGACAGGGCCTTGCTAAATTTCTCAGGGTCTCACCAAGTTGCTGAGGCTGAAACTTGCAAACCTCCTATCTCAGCCTCCAGAGTTGCTGGTATTACAGGTGTTTGCCACCACAGTCAGCTAGAAAATGGTAATTTTATGGTGGAAAAATGAGACAATACCTCCTTGATAAAGTGATAAAAGTAGTGAGAAAAATTGACATATACAGGAGGACTAAGAAGATCTAAAAGCAAAAAAAAAAAAAAAAATAGAAAAAAGAAACCCTAATCTAGTCACAGGGAAACACAAATTGAGGAACATTCTACCAAATAAGTGAAATAAATGGACTATTCTCTTCAAACTGTCGAGATCATAAAAGCAAAAGAATACCTGAGTAATTGTCATTGACTAAACAAGGCTAAAGACAATAGGTGATCCTTGACATTATTGGAACAATTGGCAATAGCTGAATAAGGGTTGCAGAAGAGATAATATTGTTGTATCAAAGATCATATCTACCTTTTAGTAATTTTTCCAGAGTGATGTACAAAAGATGGTTTTTTTAGGAAATATACACTAACATATTTGGGATAAAGAAGCATCTGAAATTTACTTTTAAATGTTTTAAAAAATACACACATGAAGAGACAAGAAAGCATGATAAAGACTGTAGGATTTCATCAACTGGAACACGGAGGAAATGCACAGAGGTTCTTTGTACTCTTGACTTATCTGTGAGTTTGAGATGATTGCAAAATTAAAAAGATTTTAATGAAAGGATGTGGAGAAAACATCCTCGTTGAGCAGGCAAAGAAACTGCAGACTAGTTTGGGTTCTTTCCATGGTTGCACAAATGGTAGGCAGGGAGGCAAGGAATAGAAACAAATCTGTCCCTTGCCTGTAGCCACCGGAGCATACTGCCACTCACTGACGCAGCCAAGTCCACACACTGGGAAATTCCACTGAGATGAAATGTCCAAAACAG